AAGAGGCATGGAGCGGGGAGTTGATCTTGGTGTTCCAGCCAGCGGAAGAAAGAGCAGGTGGCGCGCAGAACATGGTGGATGATGGTCTGTACAACAAAGTCAAAGAGCCGGACGTTGTGGTGGGCGCACATGTCATGCCGGAAAGAGCTGGTGTTATTGGGACAAAGCATGGTTTAATCGCCAGCTCGGCTGATCGATTCCAGTAAATCCGCCCTTCTCTTGGAGATTTCATTCAAGCTAACCCCTATAGACTCCGTATCGAAGGTCGACAAGCCCACGCATCTACTCCCCATCGCGGCATCGATCCCATCCTACAAGCCGCATCCACAATAATGCGTCTCCAATCCATCGTCGCGCGAGAAGTAGACCCCCTAGACTTCGCCGTGGTAACAGTCTCCGCCTTCCACGCAGGCGACGCCGAAAACATCATCCCCTCGGAAGCCAACCTGAAAATCGACGTCCGCGCAGCTCTACCCCAAACCCGCGAACGCGTCCTCGCAAGCGTAAAACGCATCATCGCCGCCGAGGCCGAAGCATCCAACAATCCAAACACTCCTACTTTGACACCAACAACACAGTTCCCCTTGCTCTTCAACGACGCCGACGTTACCAACGCGCTTGAACAGTCCTTCTCCGCGCACTTCCAGCCTGGAAAGCATTCGTATCAATCGGACATTGCGCGTCTACAGGGCTCTGAGGATTTTGGTATCCTCGCTACTGCGATTGGCAAGCCGAGTTGCTTTTTCCTGTATGGAGGGACGGATCCCGTGGTTTGGGATAAGGCGGAGAAGGAGGGGAGGCTGAGTGAGGATGTTCCTGGAAATCATAGTCCCTTCTTTGCGCCGGTTGTGCAGCCGACTTTGACGGTGGGCATGGAGGGCTATGTTGTTGCTGCTTTGACTTTCTTGAAGAAGGGCGAGTAGTTAGTTTTCTGATTCTCGAATGTGTCGTGCTATGAGGTTTTGTCCGCTGCAGGTATGCGGCGTGGTATATTCTTTAGCGGCTAGTGATAGTTACTGCCTATACCCCGCATCCGTTCGCTACCTAGGTATCTCTACATCCAAACATGCTGAAGGTTACGTTTTCATCTTCCGTTACAACTTGTGACGCAATACCCCTATCATCTGTTCTCCAGCCGATAAGGCCTGAGGTATTGGTCACGGTTTTACCTTGGGCTTCTCTGACATGTGTTAGACCTCAAGTTAGTACGTGTTCGGACTCGCGCGGCCTGCGTTCGGAAGCATGGAAGGCGCGGACGACGTCGGCCACTGCTTCAAGCACGAACCTCTGGACACTCGAAGACAGCAAATTAGACTGGTTTGCATCGCTCCAGCGTCTTCTGGCGATATCAAATGTCAGCTCAGGAATGGCTACCTCGAAGACGACAGAACACCCGACTATCGAGCGGTTTCGTATGAATGGGGACCAAGCTCACCGCTTCGGCGCATCTACATCGACGGTCAGCCTTTAAAAGTGCGTCAAAATCTATACGCATTCCTCGAAACTTTCAGGACGAGACTTTTCAAGTTTCAGAGTAACGGTCTATACGAGGCCGAGACACAATGGTTATGGATCGATCAAATCTGCATCAATCAAACGGTGATCACCGAACGCAACCATCAGGTGAGGCTGATGTCCGAGATCTATAGTCGGGCCGCCTACGTTTACGTGTGGCTCGGGCCATGTCATTCCGAGGTTGAAGCGGCAATGACGGTGTTGAAGTCCGGTCTGAGACGGTACTACGAGGATAGAACCACGCTGTCGCCTACGAAAGGACCAAGGCGGCATCGTATCTCTGGAGCCGAGGAGCAAGGCCATCTCAACAAAAATTCTTACTCTGAGCCAGAGTCGAATAGCTTGCCGGCCGCAGCACTCAGATGCTTCTTCCTCAATACGTACTGGAAAAGACTTTGGATTGTACAAGAAATCATGCTAGCCCGATATATCCGGATCATGTGCGGAGAGACTATACTCTCATGGGAAGAGCTGAGGCGATTCTGTCTCTCAAGTGCATCTCCACTGCTGGCGCAGGTTCGGTACTGTATACCGCAACAGGTGATATGGCTGGTTGAACACGCGCTCTCGGCAAAGAAGTATACTTACACAAGTCTGCTTGCGACCTTTAGTAAAAGCGATTGCCACGACCCAAAAGACAAAGTATATGGGTTGCAAGGTCTGGTCGCGCCCCGCTCGAGAGTGGTAGTCAACTACGCTAAAAGCATCCAACGAGTGTTTTTAGATGCGGTGGGCTTGCTGTATGGACGCGACGGTCAGACAGCTGAAGTCGAAATCGGAGGCGGTCTTGATAAGATTGACTACAGTGACCCGGCAGAGACCATGCTCCAAGCTTCCTCTATCTTGCACGCACAGATGGAGGTAAGCACCCGAATTCCACTGGTGACTGCGCTTGTGGAACTGGGTAATCAGATGGGATTCCCGTTGGTGCGGATGTATGCGACTTGCATAGGCGGAGCCATCCAAAAACGAACAAAGTCTCTATGGTCCCAGCTCATCAAATACTACCTCCAAGAACGTATACCAGCGCTCTATCTACGAAGGCAATTTGTGTATGACGAGAAAGAGTTCCACGATAGGACCTACGATCCGACTGGATTGATCAGAGACTTGTGGGAAGCATACGAAGAGTTGGAATATGTCCACACTCGTTTCCTCCATTGGATTAAATGTGATAACCACCTCGAGCAATACGTAAGTTGACGACGACAAGATTTATCAACGAGACTAAACAATTCACAGATATACGACCGCATGTATGAGGATCATCGCGAGTGGAAAACTGTGAGTACATATCTGCGCAGTGGCTGGGAAGCCTCAAAGGTACATAGGCTAACTTATCGTATTAGCGTCAAGCTACTGAATATCTGAGTCGTCGTGTTGACGCTGTGGTAGAACCTGGTCCTTTTTTTAGTGAGCGTCATACCACATATAGGACCGATTTAGAGATTGCTTTGGAGAAGGTTTCCTTCAAGATAGTCGCAACCACTTACGACGCGACTCTGGTGTAGGAGCACCGCAACAAGCCGCAGAATCCGTCAGCCCTTTGGTCATAGCAACCGAACCCTGGCGATCGAAGTTCGTGCTCGTTCCTCAAGCTGTCTCGCACATTGAAGCAGCGGGAGCGAATCCCTGCTGTTGTATGTTTTTGCCAGTGTGTAAAGATAACTTTTTTTTGCTTGAACGACGTCTTCAGGTTGAGGACACGCCTGTAACCAAGGAAGGCAAGTATGATGCGTGCGTACAACGACGGAAGCGAGGGCCAGTTGCACGGCATACTAGCGAAACAGTCCGACAAGGGGATATAGGTCGCCTGCATCATTTCGATCTCTCTTTTTGGCACTAGAAGTGGCAGTGCGAAGCTTACGAATTGTGTTCCTGTGATTCAATGCACCCGTCCCTCTCTTCCTATTATCTATGACCAGGCAGCTCACAGAGCGGTGGCGCGCCCTGCAACTCGGAAGGCGGTGCAAAGACCTCATGCGCTGCATGATAACCAGACTGCTTTTGAGCTGGGGCGTTATCGACGTAAGACACGGCGGGCGCTGGCGCAGGTGTTGAAGCAGCCTTATCTTTCCGGCGTTTTCGAAGGCAGAACACCACTCCCACAATGATGAGAATACCTGCGACCACGAGCCCAACCGTCAGTCCGATTATAGTGTTCTTGCCGATGCCCCTGTCTTCCGTGTCTTTTGCTCCATGTGTGTCTACCGTTGTCTGGGTATCTGTTGCTGATGTAGTCGACGAGGGACTTGTTGACGATGTTGTTGGTGACGAAGAAACCGGGTCTAGCGTGACCGATGAAGTCGACAACGACAAGGACGAAGATGCTTCCGATTCGCTTGTGACACTATTCCGTTTGATATACCAGCTAGTACTCCAAAAGCCATCTATTCTTTGCTCCTCATCGGTGCCCTGGGCGTTGACGACTCTAAAGACAAAGGGGTTGGTCAGGTTGGTTTCTTCCGCGCGTACCTCCCATTGGTACCATTGACTTGCTAGATTGACTGGAAGCCTCATTAGTAGTTTTCGTGATAATCAACGAGCATGCTTGCTTACCAGCGAGCTGCACCGAATTCGCGACCTTGCCTCTTTGGTAAAAGTATAAATTGATGTTTTCGTACGTGGTCGACCATGATATATTGATGCTGGAGCCTTCGCGGAAATCGATCGGGTACGTTACTGGGAAGATGAATCCGCCGTCGCTTGAGTCCTGAGGCTCTGTCCAGATTCTTCCTTCTTCTTCCTGTCTCGGCGAGACATGAGAGGCGAGTAACGTCGATCTCATGACCCACAGCCTGACGATGAGTCTCCACATAGTTATCTGATACTATGGCAAAAGGGCTGATGGTAAGGAAGCGAAAACAAGGGGACACTTAGCGGAAGAGTGCTCTGCACATACGCCTTTGGTTACACCGAGAGCCTAGAGGCGGGAGCCCTCCACCACGCCGCGCCGGTTAAGTGCGCATATCTCCTAGTTTAGTTGTTGAATCCCGTAGGACAGGTGAGCGGTTGGCTGAGATGCATTGTCTGAAGCAAGACGATGATGATGCAGGTCCTTGTCTACTTTCGCCTGCTCGGCTTCCACCAATCACCACTCTGCCCAAACGCCACTGTCTCTGCTGTGCCTCTTCCTGCTCACTCTCAATTTCGCTACTTCCTTTTCGTCTGGAAAGCCATTCAGATCGAATGATATCGGGGAAAGAAGGCCAGTGGTTACTTGTCTGTTGAAATAACGCTAGGGTAGTTGTCTTCTTGGAGAAGGGCACCGGACACGCGTGTGGGTTGGCTTTCGAGTCTGACGCAGCGGTTGATTACATCGGAATGGAGGACCAGAAGCTGACAAGGATTATCAGCGCTAAGCGCCGGACGGGAAGCTCATACTGACACGCGGAGCTGCGGACTGAAGGGGTAAACCCCCAATAAAGTCGACTGAGCTCGTTCCTTTCAACGGGCCCCAATGTACTTGCGTTGAGTGAATGACAATGGCTGCAGGTAGGTCCTGGGGCAACTTCCGACGCAGATATCGAACTGCTATTGCCGCCTTGCTCATCTGTGGCTTCTTCATACACTCATATCGAAGATCGACACCCAGCGCCAGTATATTAAGCCAGCATCAGAGCCCACTGTACTGTCCTCAGAACGCCATCGCGAAGGAAGTATTGGTCGTCCTTCGCACAGGTGCTACCGAGGTACTCGAGAAGCTGCCGATCCATCTCACTACCGTGTTGCGATGCATTCCAAACTACGCCATCTATTCCGACTTTGAAGAAGAATTTGGGGGACATCATATTCACGACGTTTTCGACGAGCTCGACCAGGATCTAAAAGACTCAGTGCCAGACTTTAAGCTTTACCACCAGCTAAAAACCAAAGGCCGAGATGGTCTCTCCATGGACGGTATCGAACACGATGGAAGTGGCGCATCGGGGTCGCTAAGCAACCCTGGCTGGAAACTCGACAAGTTCAAGTTCCTGCCTATGATAGATAAAGCTCTCCGCCAGATGCCACAAGCAAAATGGTTCGTCTTCGTTGAACTTGACACGTACCTGATGTGGACCAACCTGCTCGACTATCTGTCCCAGTTCGATGCAGAGGCCTCGCATTATATCGGCAAACAAATGTATATTGGCGACGTGCTTTTTGCTCACGGCGGCTCGGGGTTTGTTCTGTCGGCACCAGCAATGAGGAAGGTGATTCGTCATTGGAAATCTCATATGAAAGACTTGAACCAGTACACGATTGAGCAATGGGCCGGAGACATGGTCCTCGGAAAGGCGTTGAAGGATGCTCAAGTATCACTGCTGTGGGCATTTCCTCATTTCCAGGGTGATCCCGTTTCAACGCTCGACCACAACATTACGAAGATCAACAGACAACCGTGGTGCTATCCCGCGATTACATACCATCATATGCCAGAAAATGAGATCAGGTCTCTGTGGGAATTCGAACAAGAGTGGTATCGTAGGGGTCCAAGGAGCGCTCCTCTGAGGCATGCCGATGTGTTCAAGGGATACATATACCCTAGTCTGAGCAAGGAAAGATCGGAGTGGGACAGTTATTCCGTCGATAAGGCCTTCAGCAATGATGTTTTGAAGGGCGAGGAGGTGCACAGCTCTTTCGAAGCTTGCAAATCGGCATGCGAAAGGAACACGCGCTGTCTGCAGTTCTCCTACCGCCCTTCTAGGTGTCTGGTGTCGAGTGAAGTGCGCTTAGGCCGAGCGTCGACATTACAATGCTTAGAGTATTCCACTGCCGCTTCGAGGTGTGAAAAGATGGAGGAGCCGGCGGCGATAACAGGAGGTGCGGTTCGTTCTGGTTGGATCGTGGACAGGTTGGAAGAGTACATGCGTACTATGGATCAGACGTGCGATAATCGGATAGGCTGGATCACTTAGAAGTCACACAATTCGAACGAATCTTGTAGTTGGCTGTGATGTCGGTGGTGGAGCGTTGGTGTCTGATGGCTGGCGATCGTCATGCCGCTGGACCCTTGCTTAGGCAGAGGTTAGCTCCAAACGACGTAACCTGCCGCTCCAACAATCACTTCCAGACCACACACGGCTGCCTAGATATTGCAAGTAGCGGTCGACATCTGCACCCAGTTCCAAGACGCTTTCTCCGTCGATTCCCCCTACACTATCCCCTCACGCGCCATGGCTGAGCCAAATCCTGCCCCGCACAGCGAGCGCGACCCCGCAGCGGCGACCGACGCGAACGAAACACGCGACGAAGACAACGACGACCACAAGCCACGCGACAGCAACGGCTGGGACGGGAAGTTGCGGATAGACAAGATGAGCATTGCCGACGAACCACGCGATCCCCATGCGCAGGTGGTGAGCGACCCAGAGGTATCAGACGACGAGGGTCCGCCTCCCGAGCAGCTGGCTGCAGACGAGGATTTGCTGGATGATACACCGGAAGACGAGGACGACATAGAGATCGTGCACTCCAAAGTCTCGGACATGTCGGCGTTACGGTTGGAGAGGTTCAAGCAGATGAAGGTATGCTGTGCTGTGGGTTGTAGATGAGTTTGCCTAACCTCCCAGCGTCTCTGCCTACGCCAAAACCGCATAGAAAGCATCGCGATACCCGACGAAGTCGCGCCGACTCTCACAGAAGTCGACCTCTACGACAACCTCATAGCGCACATCAAAGGCCTCGATGCCTTCACCGAACTCACCTCGCTCGACCTCTCCTTCAACAAGATCAAGCACATCAAACGCCTGAACCATATGACAAAGCTCAAGGATCTGTACTTTGTGCAGAACAAGATCAGCAAGATAGAAAACCTAGACGGGCTTTCCAACCTGCGGCAGATCGAGCTGGGCGCGAACAGGGTACGCGAGATTGAAGGACTGGATACCTTGACGGGCTTGGAAGAGCTGTGGCTGGGCAAGAATAAGATCACCGAGATAAAGGGCCTAGACACCCTCACCAATCTCAAGATTCTCAGCATTCAGTCGAATCGCCTGCGCTCGATAACGGGTCTGGAGAAGCTCGTCAACCTTGAAGAACTGCACATCTCGCACAACCTCCTCACAGAACTGTCAGGTCTAGAGAACAACGTCAACCTAAACGTTATCGACATCAGCGCGAACCCGATCGAACATCTATCGGGACTGAATGGTCTCAAGCACCTCACCGAGTTCTGGGCAAGCAACTGCAAGCTGAGCGACTTTGGAGAGGTCGAGAAAGAGTTGAGAGATAAGGAAGAGCTGGAGACGGTCTACTTCGAGGGCAACCCTCTTCAACGGGCACAACCGGCGCTATACAGAAACAAGATTCGGTTAGCGTTACCCCAGGTTGTACAGATCGATGCCAGTAAGTCCATACCCCCCAACATCTCAGGACACACATTAACCTTATAACAGCATTCGTGAAGCAAGTATAGGCGACCAAGCGGGAACGAGGATCAAACTGCAAAGGTGAACAAGGCATTTACACGGCGCACTAGGAAGAAGCTGCAGGCGTTCAGGCAAGCATACATCCAGCGTGGCGATATGGTGGTGATACCCTATGAATGCATGGTATTGGTGGCTTGCGTTCTTGCCGCGTGTTGTTCATGATTGGCTAATGTTTAGAGGATTGCATATAATACACCAACGCGCCATCTTATCCCTCGCTATTTTGCAACGCGTTGCGGTCGGATAACACCATCGTATCTTCTGTCAAAGGTGTTTCTATGCTCTTGTTGTCCATATGCGAACCGCTGTCACGCACGATGTGTTCCTGACTGCAACTATCGTCGTCGCGCCGTTGGAGTGCCGTCGTAATGAAGCGATGGCTCTTCGTTGTACCCGCACCCGATTTCATCTCGTATCCGCCCGAATAGTATGCGTTCGTCGTAGGACGGGTGGTGCTCTTTGTGCCAAAGAGTTGCGGCGCAAATTTTGTGGCGAGGGCTTTGAGCGCGGGACCACAAGCGGTCATAATCGCGACGTTGACTTCGATGCCTGAGAGGGTAATGGAGGTCTTGTATGTGGGGTCATTCGAAGTGCTAGATGGGTACCAAAAGTCGTAGAAGACTTTGAATCGAACTATGCCGAGGATAGCTACAATCCAGCCAGCAGAAAGTACGGCGCTGACAGCGAGTTTCTGGCGGATCGCCATGCGTAGGTTCCACATCATAGCTACTGGCACAAGGAGTATGAGTATATCCGTCAGGATTGCGAGACCGGCGGTGACGAGGGAAAAGGCGGCCATATTGTAGCACGTGTAGTTTGGGTTCACCACCTTGCCATCGATGTTTTGGTCTGTGTAGTAGTGGTCCCAGTACATGTGGATGGGCAGGCACTGCGTGAGAGCGGCGAAGAAGACGGATATCATATGACCCATGTTGAACCACCAGAGGATATGCAAACTCCAATAAACGAATGTCCTTTGATCGCCTAGCCTGATCAGAAAGACCAAGACCGAGGCTTTCACCAGACAAAGGATTGGGTTGTATATCAACTGTTGAGCCATGTTCCACTTGTCCGCTTCGACCAGCTGGTCGATAGTAGGTGTGCGAATATTCCAGATGTGATGTCCTTGGTTCGTCAAGACGACAAATTTGAGGAACACACCCGCTTGTGCGGCCGCTAATGCCCACGCCATGCATATGAGCCCATCGTCTAGACGTCTTGTTAGCTGGACGTTGCAGAACTGGATAGTTTCCATGGAAGCTTACCCCAACGGAACCGTTTGATCAAAAGCCGATGATATAATCTCAGGCCGACAAAAATCGTACTAATGGAAGCAAATGCAATAGTAATGGCAAAGATGGCCGGCTGCTTGGAATCTGAAGGTTCACTCATGACTACCGCAATAATCTGGCAAGTATGAATGTGGTACGAAATGAGGGACTACGGCCAATTGATATACGTCCCAACTACATTGACAAGTAACCGTGTCTTTAGAAGACCAAGAACTCAAGGACGTGACTTGCAATACCAACGGCCTGTCGAAACAAGTGAAATGAAGCATCGGGATGGGATACGCATCCTTCATCGTTTCCGCGGCGCACGCGTTCTCGATTCGACCCGAATGACGGCAAAAACTGTGCCTCAGGTGCGCAGATCGCTTCCTTGCTTTGACCGTGAGCCGTGCCGTTGATGCCACGAAAAATCCTCCCAACAAGACTCCCTGAAGCGTTCCGTCGCTTCGGCATCAGGATTCTTCCACTTAGGTAGTAGCCTGGAGACCTACTTCGTCAGACTGTTTCTCACTCAATGTCTGATACTATTTCCCAACGTGAGATATCGATTGTGGGTTCTGGCGCAAAGATACACCGATGCGGGGAGTTTGAGGCTGTTGATCAAAGCCTCGGACCGTACCCGAAGCCCACGCTAATCCCGATCGTGATGAGGAGCTGGGGAGCGGTACCTAGGGTACATTTCCCCGTCTGCCGTCCCTCCCGTGCCGCACGCCTGCATTAGCACCGGCGTAGTAGATTGAACCGTATAGCTAGCAATTTTTCACTCGCAGTCATATAGCCGGAAGTGGTCTAATAGGCAAATACTACAATGCAGTCCTGCTCGGCAGCAGTATGTGGTGAGGAGAGCTGTGCTGCATGAGGACAGCCTGCGCGCATAAGTGACCTCACAGTGAAAACAGCTGTTCACAAGTCTGGGCGGTAAGAGTTGGGATCGAATCCTTCCAATACTCCAACGTGCATATAGTGGATCTCCTCCTTGCGTTTAGAATCAGAGACTCGCTGATGCTGGCCTTGCCGAGCAGACGTGCCGTTCCCCCGAGCCGTTCCAAATTTCGGTCGATATTCAACCGCCCCGTTGCCGCATCGAAGCGAACCGTGAATAGTGCTATAGTCTGGGATCATAGCCAAGTTCTCTTTAGCGAGCCTCGTCACAGCGATTCTGTGGATAGTTGCGAGTCCGTGAGGAATATGTGGAGACCCTCATTAACGGTCTGGGTCTGAATGGAGTTTGAGGGATTTGTAGACAAGCCGTGTTCTAATTTTTGGCATTCTCATGCGAACCGGAGGACAATCCCCTTCTGCATGAGATGATCTCCTTACTTACAGCCATGGTCTGATGAAAGTGCGAAGGACGCGTACGTGCATCCAAAATCCATATCACTTGCCCACGAGGGCGACAATTTTGAGTGATGAATACCACCAGAAGGTGGCGCGGGCCGTTGACTAGATCTGGGCGGCCAGACCCCACAGGAGCCGCACGTCTGCTGTAAGGCCAAACATGAATCGCGTACTGCTGTTCTGAATGAGCAAGGTCTCGGCACTCAATGCTGTGGCAAAGACCGCGTGCGAGCTATATCTTTACTCGAGCAGTCGTATCCTGTCTCTTTTCTTTTACTCTCTTCAGCTGCAAGCAAACTTCTTGTCTCTTCAGTGCGGCTCGACAATCGCAATCATGGTGTCGTCATTTGTCAGCGCGCTCTTGGTAGCATCCGCCGCCGCCAGATTCACGCCTCGCTCCTCAGAACCCCCGATGCGTCTTGCCGATCGCCAGTCGAGCAACTTTGCGAGCATTCAGCAAACAGCCGATGGAAGCGTTCCTCGTTTTGGATGGGAAGATTTAGCCCTCACGGATTCGACTATTGAGGAAGCCCTGGCCTCAGTATCGACCGACGCGAGGTCTTTTTTCCGATTTGCTTCGCAGAACATTGCGAGCGACTCTATCCTTGAGACAGAGAGTACTTTTAACGGCCGTGAATGCAAGGTATTCCCTGGCGATGAAGACTGGCCGGCGGACGCGAGCTGGTCGGCGCTCAACGATATAACCAACGGTGCTCTACTAAAGCCTCTTCCCCAAGCACATGTTTGCTACAACACTAGCTTGGCTGGTGCAGACCAGAGCGCTTGCGATGCCATGACCAAGTCGTGGACTGATCCGTTTTCCCAGTATGTAGCCTTTGAAGATTACTTCCTCATAGC